ATATGCAGCCGCCTATTAACAAACATACAGTAAATCACGAGGAATTAAATGATCCACAGGTATGAGCTGTGAGTACGCCTGCATTTCTCACGCAAGGTTGAAGTTATGTTTCCAAACACTTTTAGTTTCTTTTTCTATGATACTAAAGCTCCCGTGGTCTCTTCCTAATAACAATCTGGTGGACTTGAGACAGGGTGAATTTGACTTTTGATCCGCACCTGCTTTAACTCAGCGGTGATGCAGAAGGAGGAGGCGATGTCGCATGGAGCAGCAGACCGAGCAGATGGTGCACCCGGACAGGCGCCGCTGCAAGACTGCACAGGTGCTTGTTGTCATGGAGGAGCAAAGATGGCGGTCCTGGCCTATAGCCTGGGCAAACGCGAAATAAATCAACATTTTACCATAAAAAATGCCAAATTGATATCGCTAGTGGTCGTTTTCCTACTCCTCGTGTTTCACACAGCTTCGCGGTACTATGGAGGTAAGTGGTCTCCGGTTTGTTTAAGTAACTATCGATGCAGCCAGTGAAGCATTTAACTCCAGCTACTGCTAATGTTAGCTGGCTGGCTAGCTGCTTGTGTCGGTGCCGTTATCCAATGTGGCTTTTTAAAGGGGTCGAGACGTAACTTACTGGTTGCAAACATTAGACAATGCAGATAGATATCTGCGTATGTAGTTGGACTGAATTCACTCATGGTAACTTGACTTCACGAAATTTAAATCGGCATTTGACTGGCTAGTTTACAAAAGCTAACACTGCATTTAGCTGTGTTTACATGCTCCTGTCAGGACACGCTTGATTACTGCTTATGAAGCCGTAGCTAACTATTAACAGAACGAGGTTTATGGTATTAGGAGGTCATGTGCTATTTAAATCGCCAGCACTAACGATTCAGTTTATTATTTTAAAAGGATAAATGGCAATAAACCAATAAAGCTTGTAGGAAATGTGATGTGCTAATAACTAACCAGCTGCAGGCTTTGAACAGGGTTGTAGCAGCATCCTTTCTGTCGTTAATACATTTGCATTGGTTTGTTTGGAAAAGATTTGCTTGCTGCATAGAAAACGGCGCACACTCCTCTCCAGGTTTAAAGGGTTGGATCTCAGCTTGTCCCTCACTTAAGACAGATGACAGCGATGGCACAGAGCCCAGAGTTTGACTACAAAGACATATTAGCATCCACCTCCCATCCACCATCCACCAATGTAAATGTATAAATGCCCGGAGACAGAAAGCATGCTGCTGCGTATAGCTGACTTTGTCCCTGACTGGGTGTAGGACCCAGAGACCCCTGTAGACACACTGAGAGCAGCTGCTTTGGCTGGCGATGACACTACATGCCCACGTCTCTCGCCAGCTCGCCGACCCTTCATGTTGGCCTGTTTCTATGAATTGATTCAGTTGCAGATGGCTCCATTCATTTCGCACACAAATGAATAGCTGGAGAGATTTATGCTAGAGCTAAATTGCTGATGGCTTTATTTTGCACCATGGCCCCTAGCGGAGCCCCGTATTGTACACAAGTCTTTTGACAGCACTGAATGAAAAGCCAGGGTTCTATTGAGTCAACAGGTTTCAGTCATAGTCACAAAGAAACTATGAGTGAAAGCAAGAGCAGTGTTTTAGTTTTGTTTTTTTGTTTGGTCTTACTGGTACATTCTCTGTGTCTTGCCTCCAGGCGGAGACTCATGTGAGTGGCTGCTATCCAGAGGACGTTACTTGGGGGAGAATGTATGGCAGCCTTATGGCTGCATGATGCACAAATACAAAAGCATGTGAGTCCCACTAACTGTGCAAGGTCACTATATGTACACTAGACAAAGATTCAAGTGTGTTGCAGTGATAACTGAGGTGTATATATGTCTGTCTGTGAGGGTGAGATGATGGGTAATTTGTGAGCCAATTGAGAAGATGCTATCACAGAGGCAGACTATGTGTAATAAGATCTGCTTTTGATTAGGTTATAGAATGCAACCACCCAGCACATGAATGGTTGCAACCTGCAGTTGTTAGGCTGTACGGTTTTCAGATTGCTAACCCTCATCTTTGTCTTACAGTGAAGCCAAAACCTGCCTTGCTGAAAAGCGGGTGGCCTTTGTTGGTGATTCACGAATCAGGCAACTATTTTACTCCTTCATCAAAGTTATTGACCCTGAGCGAAGAGAAGATGGAAATAAGGTAATAATGAGAAACCGCACCATGTGAACTCAGGGTTATTCTTTGGAAATTATTCAGCAGAGGCAGCAAGAGGTAGTGAGACAACAACCAAAAGTGCAGACATCGTCAGATATTCCTGCATTTACCCTCCGCTCACATGTCCTGAACGGTCTTTAAAGGTATCTGATCAAATGAGTGGACCTAAGATGATTATAAAAATATGTCTTCCTGTTTTTAAATCTACCTTATCCAATCATATATAGCCAGCCACTATATTCTGACCGATCCATTCAAGACTCCTACCAAAGACGTGTTTGAAAGAGCCGATAGAGAGAGGGGTAGAGCTGCATTTGGGACAGGGCTGCTTGTTTCTTCCTGTAAGAACAATTGTTTCCTCACTCACTTCCCCAGTTTATTAGGAAGGAGTTTGCCTCAAACTTTTTCTGGCTGGGCAAAACTTAGACCAGTTTTCTTCTTACCTGCTTAATGTAGGCATGGCTAATCATTCACTGCCACGTACATTGCTGGAACAATGTAAGAAATAGCCCCGCTGATAATTGTTTTCTACAAAGTGTCTAGATTTAGATTTTATCTAAGTCTGTAAATATCTTGAGGCCTTCCTCTTCTTTAATAAAGAACAGGAAATCCTAAAATAGGTGGCATTGTTGAAAATGTACTGCAACAAAAATGTACATTGATATCAGGTGTTTTGCACAAAAACTTATCAACAAAAGAACACAGCAGTGGAATGCATGGCAATTAAGCAGCAGTCGTAACTATTTTTGGTCTGATCTCAAGCAGGAAAAAACAGGAGCACTATTTTCCTAACAGGCTTTCTCTCTGTCTGTCCCCATGTAATGTCTGAAGCACGAGGACATTTCTTTTGAAGATGAGAGTTCCTCTGTTAATGTGGTAAGCTATTTCTGGATGTGTTTTTATCTCCTGTTCTCAGTCTGTAAAAACATGCTCTGATTAAAAACATCTAAAAACATCTTTGTGTGTAGGACTTCTTGTGGTATCCAGAGGCAAATAATTCAATGAAGGAGCGCTTGATATCATGGACACACGTGAGTACAGATGTTGAGTTGTGTTTTTAACAAGGGGGAGCATTGTTAATTGAGCAAGAAATTGTCACGTGGTCTGGACATAGATTTGCTTTTCTAATTGCAACTTCTAACATGTGCTGCAGGAAGCTTCAGCAAAGCCAGATGTTGTCATCCTTGGAGCTGCCACAGTAAGCTGTTTAAATCAGTGTTTAGCAATGCTTGCACATTTCATGATAGACAAACACAAGCCGGTGGCTGAGTTATGTCAATCTTAAACTTATCCATTAATCTATTTTCCACAGTGGTCCATCAAGTTGCACAGTGGCAGCAGCGAGACCCTGCAGCAGTACAAAGTCAACCTGACAGCCATTGCTGTGAACCTGGAGAAGCTGGCTGACCATGGAGAGGTCTACTGGGTCCTGCAAGGTAAGTTTAGCTTCAAGCCTTTCCAATATGAACAATAAAAGAGTTCTTCAGGGCATTTTAGGTGCTACGGTTTCATCACTAAATCCCAATTTCCCCAAGTAGTGCTTATGGTTAAAAAGTTAACATTATTGGTAATTTCACTCATTTGATTGCAGAATTTTGTGATTATTAACTTCTCATATGTAAACCCTCTAAACTAAATCTCCTTTCCTGCTCCGTCTGCACCAAAAACCATTACACCTCTGTCCTCTAGACCCAGTAAATGAGGAGGTGTTGAGTGACAACAGGAAAATGATCACCAACCAACAGCTTGAGCTGTACAATGAGGCAGCAGTGGACGTGCTCAACAGCAGCAAGCGTAACAGCAGGTCCCGGGTCAAGCTGTTGGCCGCGTCCCGCCAGGCCGCAATGGAAACTATCACCCAGTCAGACGACGGCTTGCACCTGCCTGAGAGCACCAGGAATGTGGTAGGCAGGATTACAAATAATTTAAGATTACTTCAGTCAGTAATTAGATTGTTTTATTCAGTGGTCCAAGTTCAGCGATCACATTTCTTGCATTTTAGCTTACTCACATCTTGTCACAATCCGCCTCTCAGGGAGCTATGATCCTCATGAACTCGGTGTGCAACAAGCTGCTGAGGCCTATTGACGGCTCCTGCTGCCAGACGGTACCGCCCCCAAACCTCCTCCAGAAACTGTCAGCATGTTTCTTCCTGGGCTCTGCAGCGGTCTTCCTGGTCCTCCACGTCCTTGGCAACAACCGCCACCGCCGACCAGTGCCCCCGGACGTGGAGAGCCTGGAGGAGAAGAAGCCAGCGACTGCAGCTGTCCCCTTTGGTCCAAAGGCACCCTTCCAGGCCCTCTGCAGGATGGGTGTCATCATGGGCTATTTTTACCTTTGTGACAGAGCAGATGTTTTCATGAAAGAGCAGAAGTTCTACACACACTCCACGTTCTTCATCCCTCTCATCTATATATTTGTCCTGGGAGTGTTCTACAGTGAGAACAGCAAGGAGGTGAGATGGCGTTGTTCAGTGCAATATGCTTTATTTTGGGGAAGCATAGTTACAAGTTTAAACAACACAGTCGTATTTCAGCATAATATTGAGTTGTGTCAAAAAGATATGGGCTTCTGAATTTTTTTTGCATGATCATGGATGTCTTTATGTGTGATGGTAGTTTGAAATTATAGTTTGACAAATTGCATGCAAAAACATAAGAAAGGCATCCTTTAAACATACAGTAGTAGAATTTTCCCCAAATTGGATTAACCTTACTGTTGGTAATGTACCAAACTAAAAGTTTAACTAACTAACTTTTTTTTTTTTTTATCTTCCAAACAGACCAAATTACTCAACCGAGAGCAAACAGATGAGTGGAAAGGCTGGATGCAGTTGGTTATCCTTATCTATCACATATCTGGAGCCAGTGCTGTGAGTCCTATATATGTCCTGCTTTGAGTCAGTGTACACTAATATTTGATTTAAAGACATAACATTAATTCTTCTGTGTTTCAGTTCATTCCAGTGTACATGCATGTGCGGGTGCTGGTTGCAGCGTACCTTTTTCAGACTGGCTATGGACATTTTTCCTTTTTCTGGCTCAAAGGAGACTTTGGACTGTATAGAGTGTGCCAGGTGAGGGTACAGCCAGTTATACTTTAACCAGAATGACTCACTATACTTATAGGCATGTTACAATACCAGAAATTTAGTAGTCGATACCAATACCAGTGAAATTTCATGATTCTCGATACCATGTTAAAAAAACAAAAACAAAATAAACGTACAACACATACTCCTTTTATTAAAAACATTTTAACATTACAAAAACTAAAAACACACACCTACTGTGATCTGTGTCTCTCTTTTTCTCTCATCCAAACACGTACCGGTGCCCCAACCTGTTCCTGTGTCTCTCTCTGTATGTGTCTCTGTTGACTTTCTTCAGCAGTAAGTTTTATAAAGTTGCCCAAAAAGCACAACTCACATTTAAGATCTTTTCACCCACAATGCCGTTTTAACATCAGCAGGTGGAGTGTGGACGAGGCTCGCTGTTAATGACGTAGCCTATCAGAACAATGGAAACCAACGTGGTAACCAATGACATCGGCACCAGCTGATGTGTTTACTGCTGGCGACTTTTGCTTTACCTTGTCCGTGCTTGTAAAATATCCCCCCGTATCTGCCTGTCTGTCTCTGTGTTTCTCTGCGAAGCATGTGCGACAGTCACTAGACTGTACAGGAGGTTCTCGTCAGGTCGGGAAGAATTGATTCCCCGGTACCTAAGGCACCGTAGAAAAACCAGTACCATCACATTTTCAGAACGAAGTATTGGTTCTGTCTCTTGTACTTTGGCATGAATTACCATTATATTACAACAAAACAAATACAGGTATTTGGTTTGGACTTAACTGAATCTGGTGTGTTATTATCATTGTGATGCTATTATTGATTCATCTGTGTATGTTTCTATGTTTTCATATTCGTTCCACTCCAGGTGCTTTTCCGTCTGAACTTCCTGGTCTTGGTGCTGTGTGTGGTAATGGACAGACCCTACCAGTTCTATTACTTTGTCCCATTGGTAACCTTCTGGTTTGTCGTTATCTACGGCACGTTGGCCATGTGGCCTCAGATCCTTCAGAAGAAGGCCAACAGTAGGTGTCATAATTGATTAGAAACGTTATTTGTTTCACTCACCTTTGGAAAAAGTCTTGGACTCTGTGAATCAATACACACAATTAGTTCTACACAATAAATGTGACCAAATGGCTTTTTGTTCTCTGAGCAGATAGTGGCATGTGGCACCTTGGGGTCTTGGCGAAGTTACTGGGCCTCCTGCTGTTTATCTGCTTCTTTGCATTTTCACAGGTAGGTGAATTCAACTATAACATCACTTTAGTTTTGAGTTGATACAAATTTGAATTGAATATAATTCAATTAAACAGGTTTTATATTGATTCATGCATAAATAAATAATTATGTCATGATTTGTCTTCAAACAGCAACGATTGAAAGAAAAGTCAAAATTGATAAATATGCATTCAAATTGTGAATTTGGAGTCAATTTATATAAAACAACACAATTTGTCAGTCCATATCAGCTATCAGTTTTCACTTAAAATTGATGGTTTGGTCCTTGTCTGGAGCCCTGTTTATGTAATATTCATGTTTTGGCCTTTGTGACTCCAGGGTTTCTTTGAGAGTATCTTCTCTGTGTGGCCCATCTCCAAGCTCTTTGAGCTGAACGGAAGCATACACGAGTGGTGGTTCAGATGGAAGCTGGACCGATTTGTAAGTCAAATGTGTTTTGCTGCACCTGCACGCATGCAGTGTGCATTAACACATTCTTTGAAATGGGATACTGTACATGGCAGAGTAGATCAAAAGCTTTTTAAGTGCGGCCAAATTTTGCAAACTTTGTAAAATAGTTATTTAATTTGATAATGTCCTTTTGCAGGCGGTGATACACGGAATGTTATTTGCCTTCATCTATCTGGTGCTGCAGAAGCGCCAGGTGCTCTCAGAGGGCAAAGGAGAGGCTCTCTTCTCTGCCAATATTTCCAACCTGCTCCTCTTCCTCTCTGTCGTCTCCTTCATAGTAAGACTCTCAGACATGTTTTGCTCACACCAATACTTGGGATTGCTGTCATTGCCTTGCAACACCAGCTTAGGAGATAATAGTCAGGAGTGGGTACTTACTTTGCCACACCTTGTAGCTGCCTTGGCAACCACAATGTTTTGCTCCAAATGCTCTTGTATACATCTTGAGATAGTTCTTGTTTGTATTGACAAAGGTCTCCAGAGTGAAATGTAAACGCAGTATAGTGACAATCTATTAATCTCAGATGGATAATGCCTGCCAGGTGGTAAATGTATATTGTGTAGCACTGCAGAAACGTTCTGTTCTTTGTTGCCTCCTCCAAAGCAGCTGGGGATCACAGTAACTGCTTTGGTCAATGTCTAATGAAACCAAGTCAAGCACCTGCATGTTTTTGTTGCAGTTTAGGATTAGAACCTGTTACCTAACTTCTCATTTTCCTCCATTATTCTAGACTTACTCAATATGGGCTAGCAGCTGCAAAACCAAAACAGAGTGCAACGAGATGCATCCTTACATCTCTGTTGTCCAGGTACATTTTTTGATGTCCTCCTTCTTTTACCCTTTCATTCTCCTGTGGTTGTACAGCTAACAAGTCTTCTCATGAGTCAGCTTGACATAAACTGTTGATTCTCCAACTTTGGCATTTGTTTGAAATGGTTTTATAGTTAATTGCCCAACTGTAATTCCTTTGCATTTGCCTTGAGATGACATTAGCCTAGTTACATGATAGTAACTTATATATAACTTGCATAATATTCTTTCATGACCAAATAATACTGGTATCACGTAGAACCAGTCCCCATTAGGAAGTGGGAAGTAGTACAATAGATGAGGTCGTAAACAACACAGTTAAGCTTTTCCTGCCTAAACTGGCCTGGAGTGCACAATTCTTCATCCCTCTTAATGTCTTCACTTTCTTTGTCCACAGATTTTGGCCTTCATTCTAATCAGGAACATTCCTGGCTACGCCCGCTCTATATATAGCTCATTCTTTGCTTGGTTTGGAAAGATCTCTCTGGAGGTAAGATGGACCTGGCAGTGGAGTTAAAATAATATAATAAAAAGTTTATTTATACAGCACACAATAAAATTCTGTGATTACAAAATACTTTGCAAAGGGTACCATAAAACAAGACATATGAGTTATCAGTAAAACCTGTGGTGTAGTAACGGTAATAAAATGTGGAAGCAATAAAATACCAGGAATAAGAATATGATCTCAGACAGTGAGCACAAAGCAAATGATAATCCATAGCAGCTCCGCATGTGATGTTCTGTAGCTCCCTGGAGGCAGCCAACTTAAAAGGGAATAAGCACACATTACATACAGCTGAACATGCTTTGTTTTGTCTCCCCCAGCTGTTCATATGCCAGTACCACATCTGGCTGGCAGCAGACACCAAGGGAATTTTGGTCTTGATCCCAGGAAACCCTTCACTCAACATCATGGTCAGCACTTTCATCTTTGTCTGTGTGGCTCATGAGATTTCCCTCATCACCAATGACCTGGCACAAGTGGTTATCCCCAAAGACAGCGTGGCCCTGCTGAAGAGACTGGGGGCCATGGGGCTCTTCAGTCTGGTAGTATTGCTGCTAGCTAGGGGCAGCCAGCCAACACCCGGCGCCTGATGGATACCTCTTGATGGAGCAGGCCCCGTTTTTTAGTCTGCCGGTGGTCACAGGAGACAACCTCAGTTGTGTTTGTAGAGCAACAACACAAGAACACATGGAAGAACAGTGTCTTGCTGCTGGCCATGTTTGAGCAGAGTCTGTACTTTTTTGACTGCTGTGAAAGTCGCACACTGAAGAAAATAAAAATGCCCAAAGGGGGAGGCTCTCTCCTTTCAGGGCAAAGTAAAAAAAAAAAAAAGAACAAAACACTCAAACGTTTACATTATTTGGATTTAACAGAAAAGGAAAGGAGACATTTGGAGATGTGGAATCTTACTTTAAAAAGAGGTCCTCATTTTGTTCATGCTTGCTAAGTGAATGTTTGCAGCATCGCTTCTATTTAGCCAAACATACTAATAAGAAGTTTATTTTGTCACATAGAGTACTTGCTGCCATTGCTTCACTCTGGAAGGGATCAGTAGGCACACACTCCGTCCACATGGCAGAAGCAGTTGAAGGTGTTTTCACTCAGGTGGATCCATAACCTACATATTCAGATATCTAAACAAATGTTCAATTGTGCTGCATTTTATTATCAACAATTTCTTTGTACAGTATTTCTGGTGACTTTAAAAACTGTGTTAGATATCTAAATGTGCAAAGTATGGACCAACAAGAGTGATTTTAAAAAAAAAAAAAAAGAAAAAAGCTGTCAAGATTCGAGTAAAAATTTGGAGTGCAATTGTTAAAATGTTGGATTATCCCTTGACATATTTTTTCTAATGTTTTTGTGAATAATTTTAGAAATGTATGCCTTGTGCTGAAAGGTACCGTGGTCACCTGCTGTAGCGCTGAAATTATATGTGATATGTACAGTATTTAATGATTTAAATTAAGCTTATATTTTATACAGGTTTTTTTGGGGGGTGGGGTGGTGGTGGGGAGGGGCTTTTTTATTTTTTATTTTGTACATGGCGCTCATGACTGCTGTTTGTGAAGGAAGTATTACATAGTTTTGTACCCATCCCAGCATCTCCTATGATTACCTGCCTCAGAGACACATTGCAGAGGTTGAGCCTTTACAGTGTGACACCCGTCTGTCCTACTCGCTCACTTCATAGGCTGTGTATATTTGTATGATAGAGTGTGAGACTTTATTTTATACAGCAATGCTTCAGCAGTGTTTTGGGGTCCTTTATCCTTCCATTGCCGTAAAAAACATGCCTCATCACTCTGGTGGAAAATGCACTGGCTTGCACATATTGTACAGTAGGACTGACAGCTAAATATACATCCTCTCCTCGCTGCCACAGCCACTGAACTTTTTGGTCAGTGAGTGAGTGACTAAATAAGTGATTTCTTAAGATTGACTGCCTTTGAACATACAGCTTTTCTCATCGGCTCATACATGCAGTACATTTTCTGTGAGGTAGCTTGGGATCACTCTTCTGTCTGTCAGGCCCTGCGCATCAGAGCCAACAACATCAACATTTAAAGACAACTGCTACGTAATGCAGTGACTGACCTGAGAAGACATAATACTGTTGCTTATAGGAAAATATTGTATATTATGTCACTTGACAAGTGGGTGATGTGTCTTTGCCTATATATCCTCAGACATTTAAGAAAGATTAGCACTTTTGTTGTAAGACCTGCATTTTTTTTTTTTTTTTTTCAATCTTTGCAGTGAAATACAATGTTAAACATGCGTTTAACACGGTACCAGTGCAGATACTTTTTGCACTTTAGCACATTTTTATTGGGTAAATCAAATGTTTTGTCAAGGTCATTTGGCAGATACAAAAAAGAATGATAATGTAACATCCTATCTGTTTTGAATATGAATTTTGAGTTGCATAATTTATCTGCTATGGGGTAGTAAATGTTTGCGGTGTCAGTTGTTTTTCACACATTTATGTAGCTTCTCTTTAAAAGAAAAACATGGGTCCACAAAGAATAGTCTTTTTCATTACAGTGGAACAATTTGTCCACACCTTTTAAGGCTTCTCCTGTCATTTATCTGATGATGTGCAGTTCAGGTTGTGTCCTCAAACTGAGTAAGAGCCAAGTAAATTTGTAATTTCTATTACCTGTCATCTCCTCATTGTATAGAGGAAAATGGCATTTCCATGTTGCAATTTTTCATCAATGTGTGAAGTTTACTGATCTGTTTTCTCGTCTATTACTGATCAACAGCTATAAATTTGGTAATTGTTTCAGGCCTTAATAGATCTTTTTGGTCATGTAAAAGCAACAACTATTTATACCCCTGTGCAGGGCCTCTTTGAAATATGTAACATGTACATTTTCTGTGACGTCATAAAAATGTGAAATGTATCCATATTATTTATAAATGCCTTTATTCTGTTGTACATTGTTAATAATACCTTCATAAAATGTGCTGGTTTGGTTGTTTTTGTTTGGACAGAAACATTCAGACATTCATTAAAATAACTCTACTAGAGGTACTTAAAGTAAATGCAAATTACTTTGAAAGAATTTATTGTTATCATGTGACACATAACATTATTAATAACACATGACAACTAAAGCATTTCCATGTAAAACTCCCTTTTTCTCTAAGCGGTCCATTGTGGAAAGCAAGTAGAAATACAAACATAGTTTGAACATTTACACAAATATTTCAAAATATTCTAATGTATTATAATATATATAATCCGCTAAGCTTTTTTGTTCTCTTCCACACTCTCACTTTTCAAGGTGTAAGTGCATATGGATGATACATTTTTGTAAAGACACCTCTGAGGCATGCAGATTGGCACAAATGTTAGAAAAAGCAAAACTATAGATATGGAATCTGCTCCAACACTGGTGTCTCTGGTCACAAGTTCAGTGCTTCGGCCACCTTTCTCTCCTCAGGAATACCATTTACCTGAAATAAATAGGAAAAAAATGATATTCAACTTTATTGGAGCATGCGTGTTGAAGTTTTGACATGCGGTTAGTCATTTTAAGCAGAAAAGATGAGCTGGAATAACTAATAACAGCATGAATTATGTCTAGGTGAACTCATAAACAGACTGCAGCACCTACCTCCAGCCTTCGAAAGGTTGACATGACATAATTATCTCCTTTGTTAGCAGTGAACAGAGAGAGCAGCAGGTTAGTGCAGCTGAACACCATGCACACAGGAGGGCGCTCACACACCGACACCAGATAGTGTTGAGACACCATCAGACAAGAAGTAATGCCTGATTTCTTCTAGCAGTGCCATGGCAAAATGATTTACCCTCAATAATCTGTGTCCAATTGAGTCTGGATGTTTGTATTTTTACAGCCATGTAGGAGGGAGATAGTGTAAGGACAGATTGAGGTTGTGAGAAAAATAACTGTGACTCCAACATTTTAATTCATTCATTCATTATTGTCTGTATTGAGTCATTTTATTCAATGTAAAAAGATGAAAGAACACCCACCCAATGTTGCTCTGACATCTACTCCAGTAAAAAAGCCTGTGCAAGCATCTTTATTTGTTATTTATTAATTAAATAAAGTCACATCGCATATTACGCATGCAGATGGAGTAAGGTAGAGTACGGAACAAAGGCTGACTAACCTGATGGCCGTTGCTGTGGTATCGTAATCTGGTTTTGCAGATTCCTGGAATTATAAACAATGATACTATGGTAAGCAGACATTCACAGACATTACACAAGCCTTTAGTATCACGAGAAAGCTTGTTGTACTTATATGAGCAAATTTTTATGAGTTTCAAGCACATTAGGGAAAATCATGGGACAGCTTGAACCTCTTAAGCTGTAGTTGTATTTTCCAAAGGCCTGACTTTGGTATGTTAGAACTACTGAAAATAAGATTAAACGATAACGGTGGTGTTTCGACTTATATTTCCCCGTAATGACGCCTATAAGCCATACATCTGCGTTCCTGCTAATGAGTGGCTGCTCGGTGCATTTCATCTGCGTATTCCCTCACGTGCCGCATGTGCGTTTCCCCCGCCACCCTATACTAAATAACCTTTCAACTCACGTCTGTGTCTGCATGAGGGGCATGCTGGTGGTCTCGTAGTTGTCGGGGTGTATGGGCGGCACCACCTCGCCGCTCACTGGGTTGAAGACGGGCAGGGTGGAGAGGGGCCATGATATCTCCCGGTTCTTAGACATGCTCCGCAGCTCCTTGCTGGACTTCTGGATGGAGCTGTGGTGAACCAGCTGGATACTGGAGGGGAGAGGCAGCCATGTTAACACGTATGAGCTTGTGTTGTGGTCATGGTTGGTGGTGTTAATTTTGGCTCATCCCGTATGCAATGCTTTACTTGCTGAAACACATTTAAAAATACTCGAATATGCGACATCGATTCGTATCTGCTTTGGTGAGCTGCGTACTCGATTCATGCAAGCACAGAAATATAACATCCACGTTCACCTATCGCTGTGACTTCGTCTGACTTATGGTGCTAGATATGTTCTTTGAGATTTATGTACGATTTAAGCAATTTGTTACTGCTACAGCCTAAATAACCTGCCACTGATTTTTTGAGCAGCCCATTGGATGAATGGATGTCAACACATAGATGAGCATATGAATGGTTATGAGGAAGCCGTCAATGACAACAAAGATGACAAAACTGCAAACCAAAGAGAGAGAGGGAGGGGACAGAAACAGACCCAAAATAAAGAAAAACACAGGAGAGGAAAAACACTTACTCTGGTGTTTGCATGTTTCTTTTTTCCCTAGAAACAAAACAAAATGGATGAATTAAATACTAATATTAATAGTTCAACAGACATCTACACACAAGTGAATGGATTGTTGGGTAAAGACAAGAGTGGAAATGGTGATGGGACATAGAACACTGAGTAAACGAGGGGGCACGTCTCTCCCAGCCTGTAAATGATGGAGAATGATGAAAGGATTTGTCGAGGAGAAATGGCTATCGGTGTCTTGGCTACGCTTCCAAAACATCGAGATGTACATGATGACATTAACAAAAGCTGTGACAGATAATCATGGGCGAACTTTATGTAAATGGACTATATAATTGGTAATGGTAATGACAAGCTGCAATTCCAGTCCAGATTAGTGCTCCTATTTTAAATATCCTGCACTGTCCATTTTCTCCTTTCTCTCCATTTGGGTTCTCACATACTTAAGTAACAGTTTCTGTACTTTCCTCAAATGTTTTGTCGGGGTGTTTGGTGCAATATTTGCATAAAAAATTTAAGACCAGGCACACTTACACCCCTTCCCGTCTGCAGCACATAGTGTAGCCGAGGATGAAGAAGAGGACTAGTGCCACAGCGGAGGGAACAGCCAGCGTGATAAGGAAGTCTGAAAAGTAGTCTCTAGTCTTCAGTGACTCAGAAGGGGGGTTGTATTCCCCAAATTCAGGCAGGATCCCAGTGCCCGGGTCGGGACGGGTAATGTATATTGGGACCACTTTGTTGATGTCAACCTAAAGAAATAATTAAGAGTTAATTCATCATTCGTGAACAATACAGCAGGTTGCCTGAACTGAAAAAGATGGGTCAATTGCTTAAGGCTAGCGTACTTGTTCCCCTCTTGCCTCAGTATTAAAGAATCTGCTAATTTAAATTCAAGGAAATCTGTACAAGACAATCCTCACCAGAGAAATCTTGCACCAATCAATGTGAAACTGAGCTCGGAATTTCTTGTCACAGCTGATGACAGGCTCCATCTCCTGACTGCAGCGCAGCTGGTTATGTGGGCTTTCCACCTCCCGCAGGCACGACGAGAAGGGAACATCAGCACCGACCATCACATACACTCTAGAGAGAGGACACAAAGCGACGCACACGAAGCATGAGAGAGGAGAGGAGAAGATGGAGCCTCATTTCACGTGTTTATGCTGAAGCTTGTTATAGTCAGAGCATTTCTCCTCCACTGAGTGTTCTCCTAGACGCTTTCATCTTCCAAAACGTCAGCATCAATCTTTGATGCACAACTTATGGCAGTTCATGTGGGCTATACCCTCTGAAATAGACTAACTGACAGTGTCTGTCAGTGCTGACGGCCATGTGTACTCATCTAATTCACAGTGAGCTGTGGATCCCCAGGGCTCCAATTAAATAAAATGTCAGCATGGTGTGAGTGGGCTGATAATATAAGCAATTTGTTTGATTGAGGGAGGTGCTTATAAGTTATCCAGAGAAATTGTACCTAAATCACAACCTGCACACTTTATTTTTTTTAAATTCAAAATCAATGCAAAGTACTTTAAAATGAAAGAAAACCAAACCCAGTTACAGCTAAATCGTTAGCTGTAACTGGGTCATGTCATAATTACAACTTATGTGATAAAAGTCTGGCCAAACATTTCAAAATCTTCACCCTTCCTTGAGGTTGTTTATGGGCAGGGGCACGCGGCCGCCACGGTCCAGTGCTGAGGTGATGTTGATGGCATTGAGGCGCTCAGGCTGCCATACGTTCTTCACCGCTCCCAGGAAGTCCCCCAGCACCTCGCTGGCCAGCATCTCTTCCACGTTCATGTTTTTGATGTAAAACTCAGCCTGAAAGGGCAGAGGGAACTCTGTGCACAGGGATGAAGAAGAGAGAGTTGGAGGAAAAAGGTGAATGGCAGCAAGACGAGGGAGAGAGAGAGAGAGAGAGAGAGGACAGGAGGGCAGCTGCAGTGGTGCTCTGCTGACTAAGACATCATTAATACTTTATTACTGCTGCATAGATGACACTGATTTCACCAGTCTGTCCAGCAGACGCTGGTGTGTCTGCTCTGCTCTGTTATGACTCGGCTTCTTTCTCAGGGCCAGATGGCAAACGACATCACAGCATAGGGAGAGTAATGTTATGTTAGCGCCGCCAACATCTGCTGAGCGTTCAACCAACTTGGTTCATATTGTATTGCATGTACCGTGACTGGTCAACAAGCCTCTGCGCAAACATACAGCTGCACAGATGTGACGTGTAGTCACAAAGGATTAGAAGGAATGGCTGCTTCCTATATATATATACCGTACTACTTATAGATATATCGTAATAATTTATACAGCAGCCACAATACGCCACACTGATTTATGATGAATAACCTGAGATACTTGATGCATGAAAGATGAAGCCTGACTGTATAATAATTCACCAGTTTATTTAAAGACTATTCCTACAATAACTGAAAGTCATCAGCAGATAGAGTTTCATATATGAACACGTGGCTGTCAATATGTTGTCTTTAGAAAGGATTGATTGGTTCTCAATGACAAAAGCAATCAAAGGCAACATTTTCTCGTCAATGTGGCCTCAGGATTTAATCAGGGAAGTTGCACAGTCTGATCTCTGTTTGCTCTAAGCTCTCATACTGGCACCTCTTACCTTCCGTGGCCATGATGTTTATGACCAAGTTGTGCCGTGCCGTCTCGAAAGTGCGTCTGTTATAGGCAGTAATCTGTAACACACAGGGGTGAAAGTTTAAGCCCAGATCAGTGCAGCTTATATGGCAGCAGCCCTCTGGACGAGGCTGAGCTAGATACACTACGCAGGCTCTGTACCCAATCGAGACACCGTATAGAGGCACATGTGCGCCGCTGGGAACGTTAAGCCTTTTGGGGAAAGAATTTCTACAGTAGCTTATGGGGGACAAAGAAAGCATAAAAAACATAATGGAATTTAAGTCTGAAGACTCGAGCGTAACATTTCTAAATGCAGACAAATGCTGCCGTGCTCAGTAAAATCAATTCAAACCTGTTACTACTTCATTACCTTTATGTGTGCCTTGGCAAAGACTCCTAAGTATCTGATACTACTCTTGCCTTTAAAAGCCTGAAAAGGTCAGATTCTTTTATTTTCATCTATTTCAACACTTTTAGCACAAACATTAAAAATAAAATTAATTTCCCTTCCTTGACATATTAAGCAGAAGCACAAATCTCCCTTCTCTTCCTTTTAAAGGTGATCCAACCACCCACCTCTATGACGGTGGCCTTGCCAACATGCTCTGCAGTGGGGGAGCCGTAGAGCACGCCGTCGCTGTGCGGGGTCCTCTGGATGTAGCGCAGCCAGCCCGGCCTGTCGGGGTAGCCCATCAGGTTGGTATTGAAAGTGATCGGGTCATTGCCGGCATCACCTGTAGGCAGAGCCGTTTAATGAGCGGTGACCCAATGATCTGTTATGGGTCAGAACCAATTCAGTAATGTACATTTAGACCCATTAGCTGAATTGTGGACGTGTTGCCAGCAGCAGCTAAGCATTTTCTACTAGTGAAATATGATGAATGGACAATGCACTGCTCCATTTATACAATGACTGCGCCAAAAACTGCCTGTATAAATGTTTTTTTTTTAGAGATTTGGATAATCAAATATTTCTACACTATTAATCACTACAAAACAGGGCAGTAAATATGAATGTCACCTGATTTTGGGTAGGGAGGAAACTCTCCTTTGAAGTACTCTCTCTCCAGAACATGGACGAATAGCACTCCCGCGGATGGGTAGACGTTACGGTCTGCGTGCGATCTCGACAAGATGGTGACCACTGAAACAGAGATTTCAGACCAAAAGGAAATTAGCTCCAGAAAGCAGAACATCTGCTTTTTCCCCCCTGTGTGTTTAGTTCATAAATGGCATACCAGCAACACTAATTAAAAAAGAAGAGAGGGAGTTAATAGAGGTGAAAACAAAGCGAACGTCTGGGTTACTTGTTAACCTATTTCAGACTTTGAGAATCTGTACTTTTCACAATAATAGATGTGTCTACTTTTCTTGCCTGGAAATGAATTTGCTTAACACAAGGGTGCAGTGCAGGAAGATTTTGACTTGACTTGCTAAACCACAACAATACATTTCAGAGGCACGGAGCTGAGTTACTGTGAGTAAAAGCAGCAGTGATGACCGTCATTCAGACTGTACAGAGTTGTTTTCGTGCCCTCCTCCCGTTCTGTCTCCAATATGCTCTCCGTTTAGCCCCGCTCCAATCTCAAACGCAAATGTTTAGCCTTTATTTGTGAAGGGCATCGCTAGGAAAATGGCAGCCCCTTCACAAAAGTTGACACAATGTAAGACTGGAGGTGCTTTGCCCAGCTCTCTCCCTCTCTTTCACTATTTCCCCTTCTCTTGCTCACTTGTCTTCTTTCAACCTCTCAGCATTTTTGCGCTGCGTTTTCCTCTTCTCACTCACCCCCCCTTCGCTCTCCCTCAGTGGGGAGGAGGCACTTCGTTTTTAATCACCATGGGAGACTGAGTGTACAAGGAAGAAGAGGGGAAGGACGAGGAGGGGGAAGAGAAAGAGCAAGGGAGGTAGCTGAGGAAGGACTGGAGATTTATTATTGTTATGAAGTGCAAGAAAGGGTTCAAACGGTTCTCGCCTGCAGAAACGGAACTCCAGACACATTAGGCAGCTACAAGAAGGCATTGGAAATCTGTGTGCCTTCCCATTCGCAAAATGCTGTTCATTTGCCCCATTGTTTGTTTACTTCATCTTCTCATACGCATCAAATAATCATAACATCAAGTGGAGTTCTACCACTGCGCTGTAAGCTCTCTCCTTGAACAGAAGCTGATTTCCAAAGAGAGTCTCGGCTGAAGAGAGTAACAGAGCGGGATTTACATTTTAATCCTTGTCCGTGAAAGAGGAAGTCAGAATGTGATCTTTGCTGGTTAAGCGTTATCTATTACCAGGGTGCACAAAGGGGTTATAGAAGATTAGGTGACAGAGTAAGCTGCAGATTATTAAGAAAGTCCACATCTACAAGGCCAAATTGCCTAACTGCGATCTGAGCGCACTGGTGAGCTGCTGGGAAAGTTGGAAAACGGTCCCATACGTATGTTAAACTGGGCCTACATCTGTGGCCACAAAGAGACACACTGAAGTGGCCATATGTCTGATGTCCCCAAGGGCTTCGTCACAGCTAGATACAATCAATATCATTTATACGCCCGCGAAATGGGGTGTCACTTATAGAAACCTAGAGGTTACATCCACCACATCAGCTTCCAAGGACCGATTGAGAGAACCACCTGAGCACAACTAATCCACACGATAACTCCTCTTGCTGCTACTACTGCACCGTGACGTTTGGTTCTAGGTTATTCAGAGCAGAGAGCGAGAATAAAATCTCATTCAATCTCAGCGCACCGGCAGCGCCCTCGGGGGGGGGGGGGTGGGGCGAGGGGGGGGGGGGGGGGTGACTTGAGTCGATCGCCAAATCCTGCTCTGAATGCACACGCTCGGATTCTATTACCCGACCCGTTGGGCCTCATCAATTCTTCACCACACAAAAGGACCACAGTCCCACACTCCCGGTCAAGGTCAAGCACCGCCTATTCTGTTCTGCTCAGAGGCCGACTGGACGTGGTAAACATTTGAGACACATCTATTTGAGACAGGCGGGACATAGACGCCCAGATAGCCTGTTCTCATCTAATGGTCTGAGGACTAGGAAATGACCTATGGGATTTGAAATGTGTTTGAGCCTATCAACATTTGAACTTTGATTCACTCCTTGCAGCCTGGTTAGCCAGTCCAGCTAACATGTTCCTGTTAAACTGTGTTTCACCCTTTCTCATCACAGTGTCTTCCGTTAGAGAGCAGCCAGTGTAAGTAAAGATCACTGACTAAGCCACACTGGCGCTCTGCTAATAGCATCAGATCTGCTTATTTGTGGCAGGCTGACTTTCTGCCAGGCCTTCTCGAGATGATGGACTGCAGCACTCCTACTGTACATAATACATCACCAATTAAAGGTTAATGCTAAACTCTCCGCTGAAGACTAACCTGTCTGCTCCTGCTGCGGGACAAACGTAGAGACAGACAAATGCATGCTAACACACACAGCAAGATACATTTCCCTGAGTTCGACTTACATACACTTCTCTACACAGCGTACATAATCATAATCACTGAAACGCACGCCCATAATGCCACAGTAGATCACAAACAGGCCTTGGGGGGGGGTTGGTGGAAATGGCTAACCAGATTTTATGCTTCTCTGGTCTGACCTTGGGCAGGCTGAAGTCTCAGGAGTGATGCCTTAGTTAAACCGCCCTTGTCCCTCTAATTGCTCTAGCCAACTGAAGCCTCTAGCTAGCTGAAGCAGAGACAAGGGAGGGATGTGCTTTAGTTCTGTTGAATCAGCTTTGTATGTGCATGCCGTCCGGATCAGGAGGAATGCATGTGCTTCTTTGGTGTTTAGAGGGGAAGCACAGACAACAAGGATTGCTACTGTTTGGACTGCAGCTTTGGTATTCTGCCCATGATGCATTTGAGCCTCGTTGTTCTAAACACAGACCTGGAAGTGAAAGTAGTCCGTGTCACAACGAGCAGAAGGCGATGGCTAAGGACAGGAGGGCACATGCAACAGCCAGTTCACTCTTCCAGCGCTCTGTAAAGGTAAGTACATCGCTGATTTGACTGAAATAACTGTCGAGAAGTTCTGTGTCATCCACAGCTTTTAATCCGTGCCTTAAAGTACCGGCAACATCATGTTAAACAGAAGAAACAGATCGCTGAGTTAATGACTGGTAAATTCTACTTCTAGCAAGGACAAGGTTTAGACACAATTTGAATCCAGTTAACTGCGGTTACAGCAAACGTAAGTGGGACAAGTCTGTGGGACAGCAGACAACTGAAAACAATAACGCCAGTATTAATGGGGAACCAGTTGAGCGTGTCACTGTATTATGACGGGGGGGAGGGGACAGCGGGTCAACACATGAAGTGCACCACTGCACACACCCACTCACCATCTCTGTGCGGGGCTGTTCTCTGCGTCAAGCCCCTGGATCGCACCTTATGGACATTTCTCTCATGCATAGCGGTGTCTTTGGCATCATAGGCATGCACAATGTAAACTATTGGATCAATGAATACAAGCATGAATGGAAAGAATATATTATATTATTGCCAGTTTACTAGGTACACCTGGCTAAAACTTATACAACAGATACTAATATAATATAATGTACACTTTGTTCTGTTTTAAAGATGTAGATTCATGTTTATTAGAGAAAATAATTGATCAATGAAGAAAATAACTGACAGATTGATAATAAAAGTAAACTGCTAGTTGTGCCCCTAGATAAAAGTGTATTTTAAGATAAATAGATAGATAGATACTTTATTTATCCCGAGGGAAATTCAAGAAGAATCTTTGCTAAGACATTAGTCCTTTAATTCTTGCCGTATTACTAAGGCGATAGATGATTTTGTAAATGTCTGAACATTACAATTCATGAAGGCAGGATTTACTGAAGGGCTTTTGTGTTAGGCAGCATTAATCTTTAGGTGTGTACCTAAAAACCTGCCAACTGAGACTATATATTTTGCCTACAGACAATGTGTGTACCAGTGATAAGCAGCTGTAATAAATAAGATGCTGTCACCATGTTTTTTCTTCACACAGTGCAGCAGTGTATTAACATTATCTCATCTATCCCCCCCCCCACACATGTAATTAAGGATAACTTGAGCTGCTAAACTAGCATTAGCTACCTAATTAGGCATTGGTAACACATCTGGTCGACATATAAACACAGGCCTGCGCCAGGGGACGTTATCAGCTATCCTTTCCCCTGAGGTAGCAACAGCTGGATGAATGACATAACTAGCAAGACAACGTATAACATTAACCTCGTTACAGATGTAAGGTACTGTACAAAATACACTTCTTTTCACGTTGAATGTTTGCTCCAGCCGTATAACGGTGGAGCTCTTTATTGTTAGCCTTTCTTTTCTCCTCCTCAGCCTCTTGGAAAACATGAGCAGGCTAACAGGCTAACCGCTAGCCGGCTAACTAGCGCGGATACCAAAGGGACAAACGCGGAGGAAATTCCCGGATATTTCCGAGTTTAATCGATACATACCCGTACCGAGCCATACCGCGACAGCTGCAGCGGACATGGTGCAAGTCATCCTCGTAAATCTTACATGAAAAGGGATGTTTTATCTAACCTAATGGTCACTGGGTTTGACAGCCATAATTGTAAGCATCCAGCAGCATTCCTTCCTCCGCCTCCAACAGCAAGAATTCCCATTGGCTGAACATCTGGATGGAAAAAGATGGTTGTCTAGTGAAAAGAAAGCGCAAAAATAGGATGTGAATCAGAATAGGAGGGATACGCCTTCAGCAGATGTTTCTATAGGTATATATACGTTGTTCGTGTTAAATGGGAGTTTAATGCATATTAAACATAAGGAGTGGCTTCTGTATTTTCTTTCGACCCATGGGGATGTCACTTCATTGTCACTGTGTAATTCTCTTGAAGCCATTTTTCAATGTTTGCCAAATCCCACTGTTTAGAGGCTTCTCTGATCTATGACTATGAAAATTAGGATCAGGACTTGTGCAGGCAGACACACCCTCTTCCTCACATGCACATAAACACACACCATCCCCTCCCTCACCGGGGCTTGACCTCCTACGTCCAGCTGTAAGAGGGCACATGCATGTTTGAGAAGTCTGCTCCAATCTGTCCAGACCCCCTGCAGAGACAGTCCTAGCTGACAGATGGTCATGTTTTGGCCCCTTGGCTCCAAGTCAGGCCAGCTATAGGGCTGTGGGAGCCTTAATTCACCCTTCATGCCCCCGTGATGTCAGTCACCACTAAGAGAGCACTTTGATCCTGCACAAAATGACCCTAATGCTGCTCAACATGCTGACAGTTGGTCACGGCGTGCTTTTTGTTTGATACAGGCATATTTGAGTCTGGATTCATGGCTTCCTCTGTGGTGATAAACACGATGCAATCCATCCTCTGTGCTCTGCAGTGCGAGGCTGTTCTGTTCTCTCACCCTCCCTTTTATCCCCTTAAGATTATTTTTAGGTTGCTTAGCAACATCTTCACATAGCCAGTGTTTAGACTGGATATGAATGTATCATAACAATCACTATAGGTCAATGCCAAGACGCATAATGGAGACTAGAGCGTTTTCAATTTGGCAAGAGGCTAAGATGGCAACCAAATGAATCTAATTTAAGGCAGATTGGGAATGATTTGAGTCCAGATCTGTTTGAGCATTGTATGCATTAAGTTTCAGTTTACACTGCATTGCTAATTGTCCTGAATTTGCTTGTTATGAGCAGTGAGGCAAGACGCAACATTCCCATTCTCCTCAGCAGTGAGGGCTGTTTTTAAATAAAGGAGCTCATCTGTTTCTTAGCAGATACAATGGACCTCAACTTTCATATAATATTTGACTTTCTAAGTTCAAGATGCTGGCACAGGAAAAAAATGTAAGGGTTGCTAAGTAAAAACAGTACAGTAACCGACTAGTAAAAGCAGAATTAATATGCAAACCGCTTCTGCTGTAAGTGAGCTCAGTATGGACGGAAATGGTTACATAATGATGTAAGTTGCATATTTTGTCAGATTATATGACTGCATACATTTATGAAGGAGATTTGTGTTACGGGATTTGAGAAGGTGACAAATACATTTCAAATGTCAAATCATTCAAATGTATGCAGCATATGCATGATCCAGTCTGATGAATCACACTTGAATGAAACATGCTTAAACTTTGAATAAAAATGTAATTCATAACTTGTAGTTTTGTGCTTACAAAATATTTATAGTCATGTATTCCAACACGTCCAAATTAATTATGTAACTCAGTGCTGTTTGTTAAAAATAATCACATATTCGGATGTTGACAAAGCTTCCTTTCTAGTGCTTCATCACATGAATTCAGTCCCGTGTTTTAGTCGGTTTCTGATGACTCCAGTGTGACCCAAGAGGCTAGGATTTATGCCCTCTGATCTTCTTTAATATAAGTCTGTTAAAATATGAATGTCCATTGGGTAAAGAGACCGCAAACTTTATAAACCATATAGCATTATAAAATATGCATTAAGCCATTTTGAGTTTGTTTGGTGTAGCCAACATTAATATTGAGGGGAACCCATGAAAACATTCCTCACCCTACAGACTGAATTAATAGCCATTCATGCACCTGTATGTAAAGTGATAAGATGGATGAATAAGTATGTGCTGTAATAAATTGCCCCTCATTTCTCTCTTTTTGACTTTTTGCGAGCGAATTAAAAGAGAAATCAAACTCCTATCAACTCAATTTAGGTCCCCTGGTGGTCCTCACACCATGTGTTGAGAAACCCTCATTTGAACACCAATCACACAGCCTGGGCTGGTGGTCCCTGACCCTTCTCTACCCCACCCAAACCCCACGGATGAACAATAAGCAGCCAGTGGGAAGTTACAGTTGCTGTGTGCTGGTATTTCTGCCTGATACTGCAGCTCGCCTGATACTGAAACCCCCTCCGTGCGGCAGATTATCGGACCAAACCATTGCCGCACTTCAGGTTTCAGCACCTGTCACATGAGGCTTTGCACAAGCAAAATCTCCGGCTGTCGTTCCAGCTGAGTGTGTTTACTTTGCGGGCGCTGCGGATGCACATCTCACGCAGCCGTCCCGCAGACGCAGCCCCGGTGCAGCGCTCAGTGCGATGAGCTGCCAAGCTGCACCGACACCCCTACAGTGCGACTGGCAGCAGCATCATCCACTGCCTGCAATGGCGTTGTAGCGGCTCCGGTGTGTCAAAAAAAACAACGTTTCTGTAGCGGCGAATCCGCCCCGGACTGTTTACCCAGCGTGGAATAGACATGTTTTCATCGAAATATTTTGCAACGAGAGCGTCCATATTTTGCCCTCTGGATTACAGTTTTATCCGTATCACGCGTTAAAAAATAACCAAGCCGGAGCCATGCATGTAAGTCTGACTCTTTTGTTTTTGTAACATTGGGGCAACATCGCTGTGGTTCGTGGTCAACAGTTAACTTACTCTTTTGGTTAATCATAGACCAAAAAAAAAAAAGGTCAGTCTTTTTTATGTTCAACCCTGCATGAATCTGCACAGGAGTAAAACAGGGGGGGGAAAAAGCAGCGAATAAATGAATGTTTACCAGTGTCAGATGAGGAGGAGGAGGAGGGGGTGAGCTGTCATGTTGTGTGCGGTGTGGCTGATGTGCGGCTCTCGGTCTCTGTTTGTCTGATCCCACTGACACAATGTTAAAGCCTCAGTTTCATCTTTCATCTTTCACCTCTTAACTTTATTTTTCCTCCTTGCAAAATCCTCCGAAGCGGCACAGGATGTCCCTCAAGTTCAAACGGATGGGTTTTTTTGCACAAGGATTTCAAGGATTATGATGGGCCAGCAAGAGTCCAGCATGGTGAATAATGAATATTGAACCAGGACATTAACGTTTCAGCCACTGCTGGTGCTGCTGCTGGTGCATCCACCATCCAGGCTGTGGGTTTCAGCACAACTTAGATTAATGGATTCTCTGTGTCCCAGTGAATGTTTTTTTTTTTTTTTATCTCAGCTTTATTGTGCAATATTTCATCTCCCTCTTTGTGGAATGTATTTCTAAACATGATTAAAAATTAATGGCTGTAGGTATGGGATATCTAATTCAATACTTGCCTGCACTAACCCACTATTATTGAGATGGTGCGCAAAGCCATAATCTCAACATTGAAACTGCAAGTGTTTCAGTTCATTAATTCTTTTCTCTTTTTGTCCCAGGGATGGTATCAACTTTTTTTTGGTGCATTCAACAGCATTTCTCTGTACATTAAAGGTTGTAACTACCATGCAGTGCTTTGTTTGAGAGCTGGCATTTGGTAGGAACCACCATAATGTCAGTGATGGTTTAGATAGCTGTGGGATGTGGCAGCGTGCAAGGGTCAGAGCTTACTATATAAAAGCAGAGGGAGTGGGAGAGAGAAAAGATAAGAACACAAGGCGAAAGAAAACATGGGGCAACAACAATATTTCCAACAGCACCGATTTAAACATAAGGAGCTCAAATCTTTACACTGATGTCTACAGTAAGTATTGATTTGAGAAGGTAAACAGTGCAGCAATGCTGAAAAGACAACATCAGCAGAGGGCTTTCAGAGGCTTTCATAACTAGTTCTCTAGAGCTATTATGTCATTTGGCCCCATGTTTCTGTATAGTGTTGATGAAAGGGGGAAATTGTCTCTTTTCAAGCTTTGTAATCATCATTTTGTTGAGAAGGTTTATGTGATTTCTGTGTATGTGATGGTATTTATTGTACTGTAATGTTTAAATAGTTATCTCACTTGTACTCACATAATCAGGCAGTGTTACAAAATGTTTCTATATTCATAATGTCTCTCTTTATCTCTGCAGGTGTGAATGGGCCTGAAGGAACTATAACATCAGCTGGATCAGATTATTCAGCGCTGCAGCAGGTCAAACTAGACTCCTCACTCCCACATTCTAATGAGGCCACGGCGATGCTGACATCCCCTCTGAATCCAAAGACATCATCATGCTGAAGACGGAGGCCTCGGGGGAGAGGACCAGCCTCCGGAGTGCCTCCCCCCACCGAAATGCCTACCGGGCTGAGTTTCAGGCGCTCAAAAAGGCCTTTGACCAGCCTCGGATTGATGGAGACTCCAAGCCCAAAGACCTCGAACGGGTGAAACAACCAAGGGGCCGCCAATATGGCAGCCATGTTAGTCGCATTAAGGACATGTTCATGCAGATGGGCTCTGAAAATACCTCAGCTAAGGCCAAGGGTTGTGATGATTCCTCGCCGCAAAAGCTGGTCAAGCCCACCAACTTCATCAACAAGGCTGATGGATCAGTGATAAAACTCCAGCATTCCTCATCAACTGACAGGATTGGAGGCGCTGGAGCAAAGTTCTCTGAAACCAGGAAGCTGTTTGAGCAGCAGTCACGTGACCAGTCCCAATCACCAGTCTTTCCGTACGGACGTGATAAAAGAGGTTCCCATGAGCACCTCGATGACTGGCGGGGTACAAGGTCTAATAGAGGCAGTACAGACTCTTTGGACTCGCTTTGCTCCAGAACAGAGGCGTCCTCGCCAACTGTCAGTCAACTCAGTGCTGTTTTTGAAAACGCAGACCACAACAACCAAGGTGCGGCCTACAGAGGAGTTAGCAGACGGGCCCTCTACTCACCAGACGGATTTCAACGCCACGGAGGGGACCTCAGTGAGGATGATTCACGACAATCTCCAGTTCGTGGAAACAACCGGAGCAAGACAGGGGGACAGTTTCCCGCTTCCTCGTCTTCTGAAGACCTTCTAAGCCCCAGTCCTGGGACAGAGACTTCGGAGCTGAACCCCGTACAACAAGGGGAAGAAGCCCAAGACAAAGCTGAAACTACGGGTGGAGATAGACGGTGTCTTCCTGGGGTCACCACCAATGGAAGCCAGGTTAATGGTTCTTATGTAGAAGAAGAGAAACGTTCAGAAACAAGAAAATATAGTGAGGATCTAGGGGTGTCCAAAGATGACAAAGCTTTTGAAGATGCAACCCCTGAGCCATTGCCGACCCCAACTACACCAGCTGGGGTCAGCCAGGAGGATGTGGATGGTTCAAGAGAAGATAAGCAATCTGAATCTCCCAAGGGCCAGGTGGAGGAACCTGATGAGGAATACACTGGGAATGAGCGGGTGATTTTTAACGCAGACGGGGACGCCTGTTACCAGGGTTGGGGGGAAAGCTGCACAGATCCTGAGGATGACCTCTACGGAGACGATGAGGATATTGTCTACGACCCGGGCTCTGACCTGACAGAGATTCCTGGTCTACCACAAGAAAACAAAGAGGACATCCCTCCAAAGAGGAAGATTCGCTTCAGCACTTCTCCCATTACAGTAAGTTGGGCTGCTGAACAAAACTCTTTTGGAAGCCTTAATTGTGTAAACACAGTGAACACAATTCAACATAAAAGCCCTTGTGCAGCTTTTATCAAAAGTAGGTTAAAACAACAGAGAGCTAATATTGTATTCAGAGCTTCCTTTTTTATGGGCTTGTATTTATAGTTGCTGTTGAACTACTCATCGGTGTTACCGGTAGCTTTGTTGTTTTCACATTTTTATGGGGTCATATGATCATGATTAAGTGGTCTGACTTCACTAATCTTTGTATCCTCGTAAGACCTTTTATCGCGTGGTTTTATTTCACATTTTCTTCTTTTTAATATGGCTATATGGTAGATAATAGTAAATTATCATATATTGTAGCTGTTGCTCTCTGATAGCAGGGGTTGTAGCTATTTTGCGATGCAGAGCCAGAGGGTCAACGCATCGCCCTCTGGGAAATTGACGTGTTCATGAGCAGAACATCTGTGCATGTGTTAGTCATGCTGGTTCTGCACCCACGCAGTTTCGCACATGATACTGTGTTTGTGTTTGTCAAACAGCCCCATCTCAGGGTTTTAAATGAGGAGGCTATTTGTTGTGCTATTTGATGAGGGTATTTTCTAAATTTCAGTGTGAAAGATACTGTATATACGGAATATAGTGGACCTATGGCGTGTGTCCAGTGTGTAAGCTTATTGTGTCCATTATGCTCAGTGATATCAGCAGATTTATGGCTAGAGATTACATGCATTTCTATCATTCATCCCACAGAGATTACAACACAATAGGGTTTTACGTATGTAGAAGGGTCATTGCTTCTAGTGAAAATGCAGCCACATAGTTTCATGTCCCTGGTAACAAGCCATTTCTTTTTTTTTTTATTAATAGAAATAGCTTTACCATAGTATTTGTTGCATCATCTCCCTTAAATCCGAGTTAGACACAATGCAACCAGTGTTGTTTGTGGATGGATTATGGGAAATATTTTTCAGTATTTTAAGTATTTAGATTCAATAAGATTATCATGTTTCGCTGTAAAAACACATTTTAAGTTGACCTTTTCCTTTTTATCCTGTTTATTTCATTTTTGGGTGAAATCTATTTTGGTTTTTGAGATTTTCAGCCTGTTGACATACAAGCAAAGTGTGTGCAAGTGCTTGTACAGATAACATTTGAGGGCAACACAGTGGTGATTGAGCGAGTGAGGTTTGTGTATGAAAGATTTGGATCTAACACAAACATTCCACAGGTTGTGGATCAATCCTATTAACATGCTGTAACGAACCAGAACAATTAGCCCAGTTATTGAGAGGAGAAAACGTGATGTTGGCTCACTAATTACCCTGCACTGTCTCTGCAATGTGTGTCCTTCTGCTTCTATCTCATTTCCTCCCTCTCAGGACTCCCCACACGTGCATGAAAACACTCAAAATCGCAAGCAAACATTTCCAAAAGGATGCAAATTCTTACATTATGTGGCTTAAACATAGCTTCATGTGTAATATCATTGTATGTTTTCAGTGAAAACATCTACAAAACCTGTTTCCATTTCTTGATATCAATTTAGCAAATGTTATTTTCATTATGCAGTGAAGGGGAGCGCTACAAAGCTTGTTGCCCCATTCAGGTCGAACAGGCGGGGAATATGCTCCTCCGTTGTTGTCTGTCGTTTCAAGGCTTCTGTTTTCTATGAAAAGGGCCGACGCTCGTTCATCATATGGAATATTCAAAATAGGCATTGCCCCCCCTTTACACAGATGCACGAGCACAATTAGACATGCACCCCTCCCACTTCTCCATCATACGCGCCCCTCCTCTCTGCCCACGAGGAACAAACAGGGTTCTGTCTTTTGTTCGTCTATATAGTGAAAGAGACAAAGCTATTTTCTCAGCCCTCTGCCCCGCACGAGTCCAACTTGACCCCCGTGGGAGGAGGCAGCAGAGAAAGACCTTGAAAAACAACCTGCTCTTGTAATCTAATACTTAATGTTCCCTCCCCTTCGTGTAATATTTCTTAGTCCTGTCCCGTAAAGCGGATAAATAATTTCAACATCCCAGCTTTGAAGGTTTAATTAATTTAGAAATCATCATGGCAGCCACAGGGAGAAGATGACACACAGCCAGCTTTTGGTAACATTTTGTAAACATGCTTAATGCCTTATGTTTAAGAAGACGAGTAACAGGTCCAGATGCTCATAGAGGACTATTATTGTGTTGACTTCACTAATGTTACGTTTATAAATCTAGCCTTTAGCCATGCACGGGTCTGTGGATCTGTCGGTCTGGTGGTCCACCACTGCAGAGTGAATTATCTCAACAACTATTGGATGGATTGTCTGTACGGTTGAATTTTGTACAGACATTCATGGTCCTCAGAGGATGAATCCTACTGGCTGGTGATCCCCTGACTTTTCAGCGCCACCTTGAGGTTGACAATGGTGGCTTGTAGTGAAATATCTTGACAACTACAGGATGGATTCCAATGAAATTTGCTACATCCATTCATGGTGGAGATAAATCCCTCTCACATTGGTGATTACCAGCGCCACCCGCAGGTCACAGTTCTCACTTATTGTTCCATCTACCAAATGGATTGGCTCAAAATGTTGTATAGGCATCCGTGGTTCCCAGACAATTAATCCTAATGACTGCCTGTCTTTCCTCTAGCGATGCCATGAGGTTCACCCTTGCGGCCCTGAGTGAGAATGTCTAAACAACTGTAACAGCTTGTGTAGATTGCCATAAAATTTAGTTCAGATATTCATGCCCACCTCAGGATATACTGTAATAACTTTGGTGAACCCCTGACTTTTCATCAAGCGCCATCATCAGGCCAAATATCTATTTGTCTGTTGTGAGCAAACACCTGCTAAACTAATGACATTCAGCCTCAGCTTTATATTGCTAATTAGCAAATGTTAGCATGCCAACACGCAAAACCAAGATTGCGAACATGGTAGACATGCCTCCTAAACATTGCATATTAGATCAGTCATTGTGAGCTGATCTTAGCATTTAGCTTAAAGCACAGGTAGGCCCACAGTAAGTAAAACCCCACAGAGTAAAACTATGAGTTGCTAGCACACAGGTTTTTTTGTTTTTATTAATGGTTACTTCCACATCCTTTCACTTTAGTTGTAACATCCTGACTGGCCTAGTGAGAAGTGACTGCTTTGAGCTGCCCAAGGCAAAGACAGCCTTCCCCCCCCAGAGGCACTGACCTACAGAAGAGAATCAGAGCTCATGTTCATTCAAGCAACTGGTTTCATCTTTGCCATTAGTACTTCCAGTTTGCGTGTTCAGTCTGAACCATATAGACTGGTACTAGTCTGATACTGATAGATTCAGTGTTCTATTGCACTTTTGTTGTCCTGTTGTCGAAATATGTTCTGTGCAGCTGGTATGACACTGAGAATACAATGTTTGATCTGAAGGTATCACACACATCTCAGCCAGTGTTTAGTTCCCCTGCTGTGGTTTTCTCATGGTTTTAAAATGTTCAGCTTTGATCGCAAACAAATCCCAAAAGCTTTTAACCATCTCACACTTGTTACAGACTTCTTTTCTTGCAGTTTGTTTTCTTTCTGTCTTTGTTGAACCGCACCCCAGGAGTTTGACAGAAGAAGTCTTCTCCCTCTGCATGCAGTCTGCTGTGTCAGTCTCCTCGTTTCCCCCCATCCCTCTGTACGTGAATGGCATTTATATCATCTTTTTAATGATACTTTTTGTGCCTGTAGAGCAACTGCATTTTCATCAGTCAAGACACCTTGATATCTTAATGGAATTAAGCAGATGTGATGAGTGGAGCACCGTTTAAATGGCCAATGAAGTGGCTCCGTAATCAGCCCCTCCACTCTGCATGATGTCTGTTACTGGATCAAAGAGACTGGCATTTTCTCCATTAGGTTCTGCTGCTGCGTCGTTAGTGGAATGCTGAGTAGCATGGATCTGAGCTCAGAGACATAATCAATATGATAGATGTGTGTCGCTCCTCTTCTTTGTGGCAATGGTTTTTTTTTAGCTGCAAGACTTTGTGCCTTTTATTTCTTTGACTGGATGTTTTTACTGGTGTGTTGTTCTGCAACTTAGGAGGGATGGTTGTGTGGAGATTTTGTTTCATGAGTCATTCATGTGACTCATTTGCCTCAGACCAGGGACAGGGTCAGAGCTGTGGCAAGGGGTGGCACGGGCCCCCAGGAATCTGATTGGCCATCGCTAGTCCCCCCC